GGATTTATTGATTTATTTCATGAATTATTCGAAGCCCACCATGAAATAGCTTTATTTGGTGGAGTTCACGATGGATTCTTAAGTTCTTTATTTCATGGATGATTGTTCATTTATATGATTTTATTTGTTTTGTTTAGGGTGCTTAATGTCTTAAGGTTGTAGGAGCTATGAGAGTATCAATTCCATAGGAAAATACTTAGTGTTCGAGAGAAACTAAGTAACTCATCTTTAGTATTCGAGAGAAGCTAAGGAAGATCAACATAAGCAATGGGTTTTAGATAGTAACTAAGCCTAATCTACCCTTAATCATAAGGCTAGGATTTCAATCGACTAAAAGGAGTAGTTCTCGGTCGAGAGGGTAGATGCTAGTTCGAATACTGAATGGTATTTCCATGACATATTATGTTAAACTGATGGGATCTCTGCACCTGCTAACACTTATAGGTATTGCCATGGCATTATCAACTTGTCGAGTCCCTTGGCTAGAGATAGCATAGGGCACCTTTAGTAAACTTTTTCGGGAAAGTAAAACCTAGAAGTGAAGTCATCTTGAGAAGTTATACTTAAGTTTTCTAAGTGATTCATATCATTCATTCTCGTAGTAGCTTGTTGTGAGAATTATCAAGCCATTCTAGTCAAATCCAATATTTACCTTTTTGTTTGCCTTTGTATTATCTTTTAATTTCAATACACACACTTTATTTTTCCACAACATCTTCATTTTCTACCACATCACACTACCATTCCATCCCCACCAATACATATTTCCTTGACATTTCTCATTGGTACATACCATCACATTAAATATACTTAGATAAAGCAGACCTTTACTTTAGTTAAACTCATAAGTTTCCACCAATCCATGTGGAGACGATACTCACTCATCATTATATTACTTGTTGGATTGTGTATACTTGCACATCATTTGCATATAATTTTATAGTACTCACAAAACACAACACTCGACTTAGAGCATTAGAGGTTGAAATGTCTGATTCTTTCATGGTGCACTTTATACTAAACACTCTTCCACTTCAATATGGGCCATTTAAGATCTCCTATAACACATAAGGATAAATGGTCTATCAATGAAATTTTGACCACGTGTGATCAGAAGGAGGGTACGCTCATACGTGAAATGGGAGAGAGAGCACTGACAGTTACTCATGGAAAGAGACCAGTCCAAGCTAAGACAAAGGGGAGGTTAAAATCCAACCTTAAGCTGACATTAAGAAAGAGTCCAAGTGTTTCTTTTGTAAAAAAAAAGGGATGTGTCAAGTTTAAGAGTTGGCTTGAGAAGAAAGATAAATCAATCTTATTTGTTTACTTTGAGTTAAATATGGTTGATGTTAATTATAACACATGGTGGATTGATTCTGGTTCTACAATCCATGTCTCAAATTCCTTATAGGGATTAAGAAATACGAGGGACCAGTGGGAGCTGAGCGATACATCTATTCAAAAAATAAGATACAATCGCATGTGGAAGCTATCGGGACCTGCGAATTAATGCTTAGTAGTGGCTTTGTTTTAATTTTTGAAAAAGACTTTTTATATTCCAAGTTTTTCTAGAAATTTAATTTCTGTTTCAAGACTTTCACCTTTGAGGTATTGTTTTAATTTTTCAAATAATGAATTCAGTTTATTTTATAAATAAAAAATTATTGGAAATAATATTTTATCCAAATGGTCTTTACTCTTTAAATTTGCAAAATAATGTCACTCATAATGTTATGCACATTCAAATTGGTTCTAAATGTTGTGTTATAAATGAAGATTCATCTATCATGTGGAACCGGAGATTAGGATACATCTCCATTGAAATGATAAAGCGATTAACAAATAATGGGGGTACTTAGTACCCTTCATTTTTTTCTGATTTCAACATTTGTATAGACTGCATTAAGGGTAAGCAGACTAACAAGTCAAAAAAAGGTTCCAAGAGGAGTTTGGCCATATTGGAAATCATCTATTCTGATATATGTTGCCCATATATGGACATACAAGTCAGAAATACTTCATCACTTTCATAGATGATTACTCACGATATATGTATCTCTACATGCTTCATCATAAGAATGAAGCATTAGAATCCTTTAAGGTTTTCAAGGCTAAAGTAGAGAAACAATGTAGTAAGCAAGTTAATATTGTGAGAATTGATAGAAGTGGTGAGTATTATAGTAAATATAACGAAGATGGACAAGAACTTGGTCTATTTGCAAAGTTTCTTCAAGATAATGGTATAGTGGCCCGATACACCATGCCAAGATCACCTAATCAAAATGGTGTTGTGGAAAGAAGAAACTGAACTTTAATGGATATGGTGCGAACTATGATTAGTAGCTCTAAGTTAACTAAGTCTTTATTGGTTATAGCTCTCAAAACGACTGTGTATATATTAAACCGAGTTTCAACCAAGGTTGTCCCGAAGGCACCTTTTGAGTTGTTCAAAGGTTGGAAATCGAGTTTGCGACATATACGTGTATAGAGATTATAACGACCCAAAAATTTCTTTAAGGACTAAGTTGGTAAATAAAACTATTTTAAGGACTAGTTAGATAATTTTTTATGTGTTGTGGGATTAAATTTGAATTTGAGATGAAAAACTAATTCTTAGAATTTAGTTTGTGGGAGGTTAGTGATTAAATCAAAATAAAGGAATTACGTATATCTAAGGTGAAAACAATGGAAGAGTAAAGTCTTTAATTACGTAATTATCACCAAAAGTTGTAGGATATTTTTTCTTGGGTGAATATGGACCCTTAGATTGGGTGTGTTTTAATCTTTAGTTTGAGACCTTGGATTAAATGAGAAAATGAGTTTTTATATATGGTTTAGGTTAAAGAAACGAAAGATGAAAAGAATCACTCACCTTCTTCTTCCATAAGCCAACGTGACTTAGAGAGGCAAAGGTAATGTTCTTTTCTTTTCTTCATTTCCTTCATTTTTAGTTAGAATTGAGATTAGCTTTTGAGAGACAAAAATGTTCATATCCTCATTTCCTTTAAGATGAGCACAAGAATGAAGAGTTTGAATAGATTTTGGTTAAACCCTACGTTTCCCCATAAAAGTTCTAGTGAAAGAGTTTAAGGGTTTGAGAGATTTTGATAGAATGAAGAGTGATGAATGACTTTCTTCCACCTTCAAGGTTGTATTCTCTTGAGGCAGGTGTAGAAACCAAGTTATGAGAGAGATAATTCTCGAAGGTTAGAGACCAAGGCGATCGTGTTCATGGGAAAAGGTTTAGAAGCTCGGATAAAGTCGGTAAGCCGAATTCTTGAAGGTTTGAGATGGAATGTGGAGTAAACCGACTGAGAAAGCTATTATTAGAAATGGACCAGGCGATTTGGTTCTTATCTGTTCACTACTCTGATGAATCAAAATGGCTGGACAAACGATGGTAAATGGTCAGTTAAATGGGTTTGGGGTTTCAAACCCAAAATTCCAAAATTACCCTAAAATCTTAAGGTTTCAAACCCTAAATTTTTAACATAATAAGACTGATCCCCCAAAAGCTTAGATATAAAGATACAACCTTCTTAATAAAATAATAATAATGTAATTTCAAATCAAGTCAATAAAATTCTCATCTCGAATATGAACAAAATACTTTAAATTCATAGAATAAAATACATAAGAATATATGGATAAATCATTTCAGTTTCTCATCTTCATATTCTCAAAATAATTATGAGACATTCATATGGTGTCTCATACTTCGTAAAGACGTGTGTGTATATATATATATATATACTAAACTTATTTAAAAACCGACACGTTATTTAAATCATTTTTAGAATTATCACTCGTATTCAAAACCACTACAATATTCTTAATATAAAATAATTCATAGAATTATATGGTACCATACTCGAAAAGTAGGATTTCATAAAAAATAATCAAATACTTTTAAACTTCAAAATCATTTAATATAAACTAAAATAATATTTAATCGAGAAAATCACATTATTTATCGAATTTGGATTGTGAAATTCCGGGTATTACAAGATGCATACATATATGGTATAAATGTGTATACCATATTTAGTGATGGTTGATATGTATATGAAACTAAAAGCATATTATCTTTGTTAATTTAACTATATGAATATGATTTTGACTATATATATATATATATATGCCTTGCCTTTATGCTTATATATTACATGTAAATATTATATACAATATATTTTTTAAAAATATTTTAAATTTTTTATTTTTTAATAATTATCATTTTATACCTTATGATATATATTTATATTAAACTTTTAGGGATTTTTTTTAATTTTTTATATTTATTTTTTTGAATATATTTATATTTATATTTTATATTTTATACTTTTAAAAAATTTAAACAAAACCTTGAACTTGAAAAAAATCAATTTAACCCCTTTATCACGTTATTATCGATAGTGAATTATAATGTTAACATTGTGGGATTACAATGTTAATCAATTTTTACATCTACGGTAAAGTACACAAATAGTCATCCGACTATAAAATATTCCTTTGTTGAGACCTCAGACTATTGAAAGTTACAAAATGGTCCATCGACTATAGAGAGTTGCTTTGTTGAGTCCCTCGACTATTTAAAGTTACAAAATGGTCACCTGACTATTCAATACGTTCCAAACTCGTCATTTTCGTTAAAAAAAATTAATGGTTGTTTGAGTTGGACGTTAACATGCTGACTAATATATGATAGTCATTTGAGATAATGAGATCAAATTTATCATATCTCAATCAGCATGTTAACGTCTAACTCAAATTGTCATTAATTTTTTAACTGAAAAAGATGAATTTGACATATAATAAATAGTCGAATGACTATTTTATAACTTTTAATAGTCGAGTTACTCAACATACTAATTCCCTATAGTCTGGTAATAATATCGTAGAAATCTAAAACAATAGAGGGCAAAAAAGGAAAAGAGAAAGAAAATGAGGAGAGAAAGAGATATAGAGAGAGAAAAAGATAGGAAATCCGCTGTTTGAAATAAGCCCATAGATTTGTAATTGCAGTTGGAAGTAGTATCCAAGACCATGGCCCCTGGTTTTCCATTCTCTCTATCAAATACCAACTCTTCACTCTCTCTTTCACCTCAACCCTACCCATCCTCTTCTTCTTCTTCTTGTCCCCCTCCCTTCTTTTCTTCACCTAACACTTATAAAGATGCAATCTTTCACATCTCTGTCCTCAATCGGTACAAATACCCCATCCTGAATAAACCCCCCCCCCAAGTAAAGAAACAGTTTTTACTCTAGTCTATTGTGTGCCCTGTTTCTTCTGTTCAACCCTCTGTTTTCATCTGCTCATCAACATTTCTTGGTTCTTTTCGCTTTTTGTTTGCTGCCCAGATTTTGATTTTCAATTTCGAATAGTTTTAAAAAATACGCATATCGGAATTTTACTTCTTTTTTTTATTCTTGTCTATGCCTCTGATAGAGTTGATTCAGAATTTTAAATGGGGAGAGCAACCGTGGCTGATATAAAAGGGAACGGTTTTAGTGAATTGGATAAGGAAACCAAAGCAAATACCGAGGACACGAATAAAGTTCCCGATACGAATAAAAATAGAAATACTACTACTTCAGATAGTCGGGGAAAGAAGAGCCGGCGGCGGCAAAGGAAGATGATGGCGTTGCCGGCTTCTGCCGTCGTGCACCCTGTTCAAAGGCTTTTCAATGCTTGCAAAGACGTTTTTGCCTCTGCTCGGACTGGATTTGTTCCGTCTCCCCATGAAATTGAACAGCTTAGCGCTCTTCTGGGTATGGTTTTTGTTGTGGTTTTATTGGATCGTAACAGTGGTCGACTTTTTCAGTCCAATGTAGTTCGATCATACCAAGAAGTACTTAAATTTCTTGATAGCCTAATTTCGATTGAATTTGTTAGAATAATTAAGCATGAATTTCTGAAATTCGTTCATCATTTGTTTTCCTGAACCATCTTTCATATACATTTGACGAAAGAATCATACACTTGAAAATGCCTGCATTCTCTCTCTCTCTCTCTCTATTATTATATTTCATATTTATTACAATTCTTTTCAAAGGGGTCACCCTTGGCAAGGATCCATTGGCTTACCACCCTTCACGTATTTTTTTGTTTTTATATGAAGATCTTAGGAATCTGATATCATAAACTACTTGCAGTTACTTGTATCACGTTATTTAAGAAAAAAAATCTGTAAAATAGATGTTGGAAAGTGTACCATTCTGTTGTTTTCTGATTTTCATTTTAAATATTTTTGTGATATGGGCCGAGTGTATTGTTATTTATTCATGGTGGTCTTGCATATGGTTCATTATTACATGTAATTTTCACGCTCCTTAGTAATGTGTGATTCAAACACTTTCATCATGTCTGTATTAGGCTAGTTTAATTGGATTCGGGTTTGATTAACGGATCGAGCTATATCCGACTGTGTTTACTTTGAGTTGTTTTTATTTAGTTAGGGTTTGGATTATATTTTCGTACTCCTATGTATTGGATACAAGTAGTGCAGCCAACTTAGTTGTTTAATATCTCTAGAAAATATAACTGATAAAGATTTTGCCAAAGTTTAGAAAGTATACGGCCTTAAGTAGACACTAATATGTTGTACTAACATTGCTTTTTGTTCTTTCGTGTAGATGAAATTCGGCCGGCTGATGTTGGTCTTACCCCACAGATGCCGGTTTTCAGTCCGCAAGTTACTCGGCGAGCTCCGACGATAACATACCTGCACATCCATGCGTGCAAAAGGTTTTCAGTAAGTGCTGTTTGTATCAAGAAATGCAAGCCATGATTCGTGATTTAAGTAATGTTATCATTAATTGGACTTGTACAAATTTTCATCTAATGCAGATTGGCATCTTTTGCTTGCCTCCGTCCGGTGTCCTTCCGCTTCACAATCACCCTGGAATGACTGTATTCAGTAAGCTTCTCTTTGGGACTATGCACATCAAATCATATGATTGGTTTGTCCCTACAACATCAGCTGTTGTGAATCCTTCACAAAGTAAGTGTTTTTCTCCTTTTTCAATTTTATTTTTCTCTTTACATTTGTGTGTTTATATATCCGTTTTCCACGTAAAATGGTACATTCCATGCTGGGAATGTACCGGGTGAGGCTCTAGAAAAGACAATTGTCGACTTCATAATTGGGGTTTCAGTGTCGAATGGAAATGATAATCTAAGAAAATAGATTGGTAAGTTAAACCAAATTCTCCAGTTTAGAGGTTTGTGTATTGCCATTGGTTAGGCTCCATATTCTTAGAATGCAGTATATGTAGATGCTTGCTATGTTTAAGATGTATTATTGATGAGAGCATCATCCTTGATGTACATGTAGAGAAATTACTGAGACCAATTTCGTTCATGTAAATGGCAGCTCAACATCCGGAAGTTCGGTTGGCTAAGGTTAAGGTCGATTCCGACTTGACTGCGCCTTGCAAGACCTCCATACTTTATCCAGCTGATGGAGGCAACATGCATTGCTTCACAGCCGTGACAGCATGTGCAGTGTTGGATGTTCTAGGCCCTCCGTATTCTGATTCCGAAGGACGGCACTGCACGTACTACTCCGACTACCCTTTCACAAGATTCCCAGGTACTCTTTTTTCCCTACCTGACATCCTATCCCCCGTCCCCCAATAACATTTGATTATTAAAATTAAAAATTTTGGCGCAGCTGATGAGCAGGTACCAATACCAGAAGAAGAGAAAGATAAGCTAGCATGGCTTCAAGAGAGGGACAAACCTGAGGATTTGGTGGTTGATGGAGCTCTGTACACTGGTCCCGAAATCATGGAAAGCTAAATTTCAAAGCCTTCATCACATCTCTTGTAATACCCCAAAACAAAAGAATCATTTTCTTATCCTTGTCTTGTCAGTGGTTGCTGTTTCAGCCTTGGAAACTTCTGTTTTCCTTTGTTTTTTTTCATCCCCCTCTTAGTAGGACATGCGTACTCTTTTTTTTCTTACAGTATTTTTTTTTTGTATATAAAAGGGAAAAAATAACCGGAAAAAAAGGGGAGGGGGGCAAAAATGTTGTCAAGTGCACCGGATGAAGCATGTAGGTGAATGAGAAAAATGTTAAAAAGTGCACTGTTATAGGGTAAATGAATGAACTCGATATAACGGAGAAGGTAATTTTTTTACTTCTACCCTTTTAGTATTATCTTAAAATATTATAATTCTATTTTGATATTTCTGATATCATGAATGCATTAAATACTTAAAAATAGTTTATAATTTTTTTTCAAGTGACATTAGTGTTCTCAAGTCATTATATGTTCGCTTGTATATTATGATTGTAAATTCAAATTCTCTAAATCAATCCATTACAACTTTTTTTTTTCGTCAAGTGAAATGAATCCGACATTTTTTTATAACAGAGTAATCTGACTTGAATATCTTTTATTTCAAAAATCGATATATCGAAGATGAATCCAGTTTATTTATTTTTCGGGTAAAGTATATAAATGGTCTTCAGTTATACCTTAACTATTAAAAATTATAAAAATAGTCACTTGCTTATTTATAAGTTTCAAACTTTTTCTTTTTCGTTAAAAAATTGACAATCATCTAAGTTAGACGTCTATTGGTACTATTGTTGTTTTCAAGAATTTACTTGACGATATAATATTTCTAGCATTGACTCGACGACATAATATAAATGGAGAGTCGATCCACAAAATAAACTCAAACAATTCTGTAATCAGATTTTATCATATCTCAATCAACTAGTTAATACCCACCTCATATAGTCAAATTTTTAATGGAAAATGACGAGTTTAGAACATATGAATTGTCGAGTGATAATTTTATAACTTTTAATAGTCGGAGGATTCAACAAAACAACACCCTATAATTAGAAGATCATTTTGTAACTGTTAATAGTTAGTGACTTAATGAAGTAGTACCTATAATCGGAAGATCATTTGTGTACTTTACCTTTACTTTTAAGTAAAATAATTGTATAATCCTCAACGTGTATAGTATGACAATTTCACCCTTATTGTTTTAAAACCAAAATTGAGTATTTGACTCTATATCTTTTAGAAACAGTGGAATCGTTAGTTTCGAGTAGAAATGATAGTTAAAATATTAAATTTTAAATGTTATTTACATGATAATTTATTTATATATCACATACCATGAGTTAGGACCCCAAATCACGTGTACAGAGTTATCCAAGAGATTCTTTATAGCATATTAATCTTGATTAGGCTTGGCCCGATCCTTTGAGAATACTTGAGAGTTTGCCTACAAAAGTCATCAATTTTGGCAATAGTTTTAGAAAGTGTGATGGAAAAGAGTTCTTAAAAGTGATTTTGGAAAATTCTTTTGGGTTGTTTTGTTTACCTGTTTGACATTGCTTCTAGCCTCAAAAAAAAATTCACCCCAAAAGGAGGATAATTAGATTTTAAGGATAATTTAGATTCTAACGATAAGAGATAATGTAGAGTTTGGATTACCTTGTAACTTTATCTTGTAGATAAGTTTAATATAAGTTGTTGATGTAATTTAGTTTGTATTGTTAGATGTATGAAGATTTAATTTTAAATAAAGACGTTTCTTACCTCATTTGTGTCATCCATTTCTTGAAAAATCAAAATATTTACTCTAATATTTTTAAGTTTAATCTTGCTTTCTCTTTGTCTTGTGGCTTTCTTTTTAAGGTTTGCTTATGTTCTTTTCAATCTTTTGAGCATTTCAATGCCTTCGAGAATAATTTGATTCTCATGTTTGTTATGTGACCTTATTTAGATGTTTGACTCGAGCTTCATCATCTAAGATTGTGTTGATCGTTAGGCGAAACTCTAGCCCTATGGAAGATGGTATCCAAGCTAAAGGTTACAAGTAAGGCATTGATAGTGATGACACACTAAGGAGAGATATTCTCACATATGATGGGATGAAGATCCATGCTGGAAAACACAAGAGGGTGCGTTCAAGGATATCATGTCATATTTAGAAAGATGGATGGTTCAATTCAAGAAATTTCATGAAGGATGTAAAGGAAACCTTTAAAGTGTTAGAGGAACACATCAAGAAGATGTAATCTAAGAGAGATGATCTCATAGAGGAAATGCCTTATCAACTAGATGATCGACGCAATGAACTAAAAAATGATGCTAAACTTTGAGGAAGGATATGGATGAGTTCAAGTAAGAGTTGCATATATTCAAAGCTAAAATGAGTTGTGGAATACTAACTGAGGTACCTAAACATAAGATCGATGTCCCAAAGTCAAAAGAGTTTGAAGGGGACTAGATCAACCTAAGATATGGATAATTTCTTGTACTGTATGGATTAATACTTTTGAGTCGTGAGTATTGGGAATGCAGTAAATAATTGAACACAGCTTTATATATTGAATCTTAGAACTCTACAATGAATACAAGATTGATGCTGCTTATATATAGCTTCTAACAACTAATGTAACAACCTTAACTAAACAACTAACCAAACTAACATCCTAACAACCTTAGCTACTATAACAACTTCAGGAAGCTTCTAACTATACTGTTAATGATCCCATACAGTATTAACAGGTGACTCATCATGCTAGCATTCCCTCTACTTCTTCTTCTTCTCCTCTTCTGACCTTGAACAAACTTGCACCCCAATCTTCCCTCGGAATACTTAAAATGTTGCCTTAGTCAATGGTTTAGTAAAACCATCAGTCACTTGATGAGCTGCAGGAACATAGTTCACACATAATTGTTGAGTAGCCACCTTCTCACGGATAAAGTGCACATCAAGGTCAACATGTTTTGATTATGCATGGTAAACTAGGTTGGTACTCAACCTCTATCGTTAAGCGTGAGACAGATTTTTGTTTCTTTGAGCTCCAAGCAACCAAGTGGTTGTCAAGAAACACTTCATATCCTGAGATTGACTACGATCAGTGATACTTGCACCCCAATCAGCATCAGTAAATGCTGAGACTGTAAATCTCGACTTAGATGGCAGATACATCAAGCCATACTTCGCAATTCCTACAAGATATCTCAGAATGTGTTTCACTGTCACTAGATGACTTTCCTGAGGTGCATGCATAAACTGAGCAACCTTTCCAACACTGAAAGCAAGCTCAGGCCTGGTATGAAAACATATAATAATGATCCAACAATGGATCGATACACAGTTGCATCACTCAATAATTCACCATCCTCAGTTAACTTAGGTGTAAGAATCATAGGTGTTGCACACGATGAAGCATTCTCCATACCAACCTTGTTTAGAAGTTCCAAGATAAACTTCTTTTGACTGAGCATCAGAGAGCCATTGTTGCGTTTTACTTCAATGCCTAGAAATAGCTAAGAGGTCCTAAATCTTTAAGAGAGAACGTGTCATGCAGCATGCATACAATATTAGCAATCAGAGTGGTTGATGAGCCTGTGATAACTATGTCATTCACATAGACCAGGAGATATACACGTTCAGCACCCGTGTTTGTAAAAAATAATGAAGTAAGTTGGAGACACTTGGAATCCAATTTGCAACAATACATCCTTAAGCTTGGCATGCCAATTACGTGGAGCTTGCTTTAAGTCATAAAGTGTTTTCTGCAATTGATATACAAGGGGCACACCATCAACTGTTGTCTGCTCGAATCTTTGTGGTTGTTTTATAAACACTTCTTCTCTTAAATCTCTATTAAAAAAGGCATTATTGATGTCAACATGCCTTAATTCATAGTTATTGGCCACTGAAATAGATAAGACTACATTTAGAGTTGTAAATTTTACAATAGGGCTGAATGTGTCAAGATAGTCTTGCCCAGGCACTTGAGAGAATCTTTTTGTAACTAGTCGTGCCTTATATCTGTCAACCGAGCCATCTGGATTGCGTTTCACTTTGAACAACCATTTACAGTCTACTGCAACTCGTCCAGGAGGGAGCTTAACAAGAGTCCAGGTTCCATTCCTCTTAAGAGCATTAAATTCTTCTTGAACTGTAGCAACCCACTTTGGAGACTAGAATGCTTCAGTAAAAGTCGAGGGAACTTCCTCATAAAAGTAACTTGAGTAGGCTTTAGGTTTAAAAAACCACACTTGCCTCTCGTGAGCATTGGATGGTTGTTCATATGTGGTACACTAATAATAGGAGAGATTTCAACACTAGGTTGAGCAGCATCACTATCGAGCAGCATCACTGTTGGGTGCAGCTAGATTGGAAGGAATTTGCACAGCTTCTTCTTCTCCAAGGTCACCCTCGAGGCTAGGTTCAGCAGTTACTTTAATAGGCATAACCACACTCGATGATTCTTATGCAGCTTCTTTCATACTCGCATCCTCTATGTTATGAGGTACAGATAGTCCTGACTCGGTACTACCTTGAGTTACAGCCTACACCAATCATTGAGCAGGTACGCGTTGCATGTTGGCCATAATCTCTAAAGATTGTAACTGTCGATTTCTAACCTCTTGGGAGTTACATGAAGGTGACCTACCTACAAAAGGAAACACGGTTTCATTAAACACGACATGCCTAGAAATGTAGACCCTTCCATCAGCTGCCAGGCACTAAAACCCTCTATGTTGGGGGCTGACACCAAGATATGTGCATGGCTGCGAGTGAAATGCAAGCTTATGGGCTTGAAAAGGTCGCAGGTAAGGGAAGCATTGACAACCAAACACCTTCAGGTCGTTATAATTTGGTTTCTTCCCGTGCAACTTCTCACTAGGGGAGACTTCCTGCAAAACCTTAGTAGGTAATTTGTTAATCAATTGAACAACAGTAATAATAACATATGACCAGTACTCTATTGGTAACAATGTCTGTGCCATCAATACATGTGACATTTCAACCAGATGTATATGCTTCCTTTCGACAATGTCATTCTGCTCGGATGTGTGAGGGCATGCCTGTGAACAATTCCAGCTTTGGCTAGTAGTGGTTAGAGACTGCGAAACTCACCACCCCATTCA